ATTAATATTATTATTTCTATTGTCAATATCTATATCCTCACAAATTTTATTGTAATTGTTATTAATATAATTATATTCTTTAGCTTTATTATCATTATCAAGATCATTGTCATCGTCATTATCATTATTGTCATCATTATCATCATCATCATTATCAGTATTATTATTATCATCATCATAATCATCATTATCATCATCATTGCTATCATCATTATCATCATCATTATCAACACCATCATCATCACATTTATAAGTAATGTCATTATAATTATTACCATGATTATCAATATTAGTATCGTACGCATGATTATTCTCATTATTCTTATTATGAAAAATATTATCATCACAATTATCATTATCACCATCATTATCATCATCATCATCATTATCATCATCATCATCATCATCATCATCATCATCATCATCATTATCGTCGTTATTATTATCATCGTTATCAGCATTGTTATCGTCGTCTTTGTCATTGTTTTAGTAGTTGTTGTCGTTGTCATCGTCATTGGTGTCGTTGTCGTAATTGTCAATCGTCAATGTTGTTGTTGTTATCGTTGTCATTGTCACACTTATTATTATCATTATGATTGTTATTATCATTGACATCATTATCATCATCATTGTGAACATCATTAGAATCACAATTATCAGTATCATCATGATCATCATTATTGTTGTTATCGTCATTCTTATTATCATTGTTATTGGCAATGTTATCGTCGTCATTGTCTTTGCTTTAGTAGTCGTTGTCGTTGTTATCGTTATTGGTAACGTTGTCGTAATTGTAATTTGTCAATGTTGTTGTTGTCATCGTTGTCGTTGTCACTATTATTAATATTATTATCATCGTTATTATCTTCGACATTATCATTATCATTATAAACATCATTCTCATATTTAGTTTTTTAATTATCATCATCATTATTATTATCAATATAATTATTATAATTATCTACTTTATTATAATTGTTATCGTCATCATTATAATTATCGTTATTGACATTGTCATCGGAGTCATCGTCGTTGTCGTCATTATGGTCATCTATAGCGTTATCGTTGTAGTCATTATTAGTGTCATCGTCGTATTTCTTGTTGTCGTCGCTATTATCATCATTATCATTATCATTATTATTATAACTATTTTTATCATCATTATCATTATAACTATTACTTTCATCATTATTCTTACCATTATCATTATTACCATTATCATCATCATTATTATCAACATCATCATTATCAGTATCATTATCATCATTATCATAATTATTATCATCGTCTTTATCATCATTATTATGATAATCATTATCAACATTATAATAATTACCATTTTCTTTATTAGCATAATTATCAGTACTATTTTTATCATCGTTATCGTTGTTCTGATTATCATCATCATCATCATTGTTATTATCATTATCATCATCATCATTATTTTTGTTATCGACATTGTCATCGTCGTCATTGTTATCATTATTACTATTATTGTCAATATCATCAACATTATTTTTATTGTAATGATTATTATTATAAATATCATCACTATTATCAACATAACCATCATGATGATCACTATTATCATCTTTATCATTATGATCTTTAGCATTACCATTATTAGTATCTCGGTTATTATCATCATTATCATCATCAATATAATTTTACAGCTTTATCATAATTATTGTCATCATAATCTTTATAATCATCATGATCACCAATGTTATTATCATTTATGTCTTTACCATTACCATTATCATTATCATTATTATCGATAGTATTATTATCGTCCTTATTATCATTAGTATCATCATCGTCATTATTATCATCATTATCATTATCATCATTATCATTATCATCACCATCATCAATATTATGATCATCATCATTATTATCGTTATAATCATCATTATTATTAAGATTGT